CAGAGAGAAAGATATGCAGAAGGAGTGATCTACATAACACAATTGAGATAGTATCTAATGTTTTGGGGTAGTGCTTCAGCTCTGATGTGTAATCTTTGAAGCCCCAGGAAGTCATAGTTTCCATCCCAAGGCTGGATCCCAGCTGACAACATGGAGCATTGGCTCACCCATCCCGCCTCATCCCGGCTCACTTGAGGGAACAACGGGGGTTCTGGGGAAACATGCCTGTCACCCCCAAAGATTACCATCAGCACCTTAGCTAGACCAATATGCATTGCTTAAAGCCAATTGAAGGGATAAGAAAAGGGTCCCAGCCAGCTCTGTATATATCAATACATGGAAATAGGGTAGGCTTAGCCAAAATGGAGGCAATTGCTCCTCTTTCAAGGAGGGTCACCTAGGTGGTCCTCCACAAATAGCAAAAGCAATCCTAAGCAACAAAGACAAGGCAAGAAGCATCACAATCCCTGACTTGAAATTATACTACAAAACTAATGTGGTAAAATCAGCGTGGTACTGGCAAAAAACAGACCTGATGATCAATGGAACAGATTAGAAGGTGTAGCCACAACCACAGACACACTCAATCACCTTATCTCTGACAAAGGGGTCAAACATGTTCACTGGAAGAAAGATAGCCTCTTTAATAAATGGTGCTGGAAGAACTGGCTTTCCACATGCTGAAGACTAAAACTTGACCCATGTATATCACCATGCACTAAACTAAAGTCAAAATGCATTAAAGATCTAAATATTAGAACAGAAACAATAAATCTACTGGAAGAGAAAGTAGGTAAAAATATTCAAGACATAGGGGTAGGCAGAGAGTTCATGAACAAAAACCAAACTGCATGGAAAATACTGCAAAGAATCAACAATTGGGATCTCCATCTTATTGAAAAGCTTTTGCACATCAAAAAAGATCAACAACAGTCAAAAGAAAGCCCACAAATTGGGAAAAAATATTAGCCAACTGTCCATCAGACAAAAGACTTCTATCTAGAGCATATAAAGAATTTTTAAAAATCAGGTCCCCAAAATTCAAACATGCAATAGAAAAATGGGCATCTGACATGAATACATACTTCTTGGATAAAGAAATACAAATGGCAAATAAATACATGAAAAATGTTCAACATCATTAGTCATTTGAGAAATGCAAATGAAAACAACAGTGAGATTCCATCTCATCCCAGAAAGAATGGCTATCATCAAGAAGTCAACCAATAACAAATGCTGGAGGGGTGGTAGGGAAAAAGGAACCCTTCTTGGGGTTCCTTTGTGGGAGTGCAGACTTGTACAATCACTATGTAAATCAGTGTGGCTGGGGATACAGCTCAGTGGTGCAAGGTCCTGAGTTCAATTCCCAGCACCCCCCCCCCAAAATCAGTGTGCAGATTCCTCAAAAAACTAGGATTAGAGGTCCCATTCAATGCAGCTATTCTCCTTCTAGGTACTTTTCCAAAAGATCTGAAAACATCATACCACAA